CAAGTATGCCTATCCAACTGTACACACATTTTTAGTAAAAGCACACACACTGTGAGCATACACTCGGAGCAGAGGGCAGCTATTGTTTTCAGTGTCCGGGGAGCGGGGAGTGGTTAGATTTACATTAGTATTGGTGTTAGATTAGCTCATGGGCACCTCAGCTGGGTATCAAAGATGGAGAGAGTGCAGTTCATGCACTCCCCCATCTTCAATTCCTCTTGGGACCAGGAATTGATCCTGCAACTTTTACAAATACAACATCCTCACCATTAAACCTGAATGCCATACTGCTTATTTTAGAGAAGAATAAAACATTCTAAACATAACCACCCCACAAAATTAGTTTTCAGACTGTTTTCTAGCATTTTCCATTTGATTGCATTGCACTGTTTCACCCTGAGCGCTTTGTAAAGACTAATTGGCCAATTTCTACCTTTCTTTCCCCCCCAAGTCAGATCAAACAAACGCTTTGCGTCACATCACATCTGATTCCATTTGCTCCCAAAACGCTGTTTGTTCTCTTTCCATGTCTAATTTACATCACTATGCCCGCGGACACTGAAAAATACACCTTGACTTGCTAAAGCCCCTGAAAGTCCACGTCAGTCTCTTCCCCATACACCATTGTCATGTGCATGTGAGAAAAGCAAGGTACGTCTGTCTGGCGAAGCCGGTTTCAAGTGTCACACATAACGGCAATGACATTTGAGGATGGCGTTAAGAGTCATTTGTGTGCGTGATTGTACAACATATCAAATATCAGCCAGTTATGCGCTGGCAGCAATTACCCTGTCCTTCTTATCGTACAGGATTAGTGAGTTTCTTATCTCATCTGGCATTGTGTCAGCTTTGATGCTTGGATGACCAGTATATCTTTGATTCGTGTTTACTCTAGATAGTTGCGTTGATGCTCCCTTCTGATGATGATAAAAATATCAAGATTTAGGCCCCGATGGATCGTATTACATCTTAAGTACATACACCATCATAGGGTGTGCAAGGAAGTTTTCAGAAAAAAATGTTTTTGTTTGTTCACACATGTACTGTAAGCTCACATGCGTGATTCGTGGAAGTATTTAGCATCATCCAAGCATGAAAAAGAAAACATGTCAGTCAACACCTTTTGTTAGCGCAGGTGCACTCCACATATGCCAGAGTTTTTCCATAAATCATTCGTACTAACTGTATTGTGGTGCTACAGCAATGGGATCAGATGGAAATACAGTGAAGGCTTAGTTTTGATATTTTTGGTAATTTTATAATAATTTTTTAAGGGGTTTTTACCTTTTATTTGGGAAGGACAGTAGAGGTTACAGACAGGAAAGTACTGGGAGAAGAGAAGAGTCCGCACAGAACCTTGAGCTGGGAATCAAACTCGGGTCGCAGTGAGCCCCATGGTGCTATACGTTGGCGCACTTAACCACTAGACTTTTGGCGCAGACATATTTTTGGTAATTTGCACACAGGGTAAAAGTATACAGACAAAGGTGTTCAAAGTGTGGAAATTATGAAGTTGCCAAATATGTTAAATAAATAAAATTTATAAATGCATTTATTTTGGGCTGCACAATATTGGAGAAATCTGATATTGCGATTTTTATTAATTTTATATGCGATAGATTTTTATAAGATAATTTGAATAGCACTGGTTTTCTATGGAGTCTAACAGTATTCAGGTACAGAAATTGAATAATCCCAATGCAATTGCTTTGTCTCGTTTCTAGTCCAAATATCTAAAATTGTTTCCTTAAAACAAACAAAATTATCTGTCAGTGGGTCTAGGAAACAAACAAAAATTCTAAGACTTTTTTTTTCTCCATAAATCATAAATTCCTTATAAATACAATTCTGTAGCTCCTGGTCAACTATAATTCAGACTCAACATTGCATATCTTGCGATGTGACTATTACAGATACACACATTGTGATATCTGTGCTGAAACAATATATTGTGCATCCCTACTAATATAGTTTATCATCTATATATCATTATAACTTATGTCATTTAACATAAAAGTTGTTTTGTAATTTACCACAATTTAAATGTTATTAGCTCAAAAGAATACCTTAGTATTTCAGTGGTATTGATTTATTAATTGATTGGTTAATCTGTAAAATAATTCTTGCTGCCTACATGTTTTAGTTAAATTGAATTAAATAAACTAGATGAATAATAAAAACTGAGTAAAATATTATGTTAAACTTTGTTTGTGTAACTAAAAAGAAAAGTTAGTTAAAACTTGATTAACATTAAAATAAAGTGACAAAAAAAGCATATTATTAAAACTGTATAAAACTATAAAATAATACATTTGCAATCAGAATTATTAAACCCCCTTTGATTTTTTTTTCTTTTTTAAATATTTCCTAAATGATGAGCAAGGAAATTTTCACAGTATGTCTGATAATATTTTCTCTTCTGGAGAAAGTCTTATTTGCTTTGTTTCGGCCAGAATAAAAGCAGTTTTAAATTTTTTGAAATCCATTTTAAGGTCAAAATTATTAGCCCCCTTTTTTCGATAGTCTACAGAAAAAAAAAAGATCATTATACAATAACTTGCCTAATTACCCTAACCTGCCTAGTTCACCTAAGTAACCTAGTTAAGCCTTTAAATGTCACTTTAAGCTGTATGGAAGTGTCTTAAAAAATATCTAATAAAATATTATTTACTGTCATCATGGGAAAGATAAAATAAATCAGTTATTAGAGATTTTAAGTTATTAAAACTATTATGTTTAGAAATGTGTTGAAAAAATCTCTGTTAAACTGAAATTGGGGAAAAAATAAACAGGGGGCTAATAATTGAAGGGGTTTTATAATTCTGATTGCAACTGTTTATTTTTGCAAGCGAAAATCCTTGTAAATCATTATCATTTGTAAAACTTAGAAGACAACACAAAATGACAAGCTTAAAAACAGCTATAGTGTAAAAAACAACCTGACCAAAACATACTGAAAGACTAAATGATGTATCTAACAGACAAACATCATTGCAGTGATATAACCCAGTTATTTTATCCCTCTCTGGCCGCAAATCCCTTGAACTCTCTAATGATTACAGTGTTGTCTCCGTATGTGTGGTCGGCTAGTTATCTAACCAGCTGTTAATGCTGAGCAAACACTGATATTACAGACTTTATTTTCCAGATCTTTCCAGTGCAGCAGCGATGCGTCATCAGCTGCAGGATTTTTGCCACCAATGCAGACCTGTGGAAATTTGAGGGCGATAGTTACACAGTGTGAAGGAGTGTGTTGTTTTCGGTAGCCTGAGGTCAAACACTGTTGTGTTGGAGGCAGATGAAGGATGGAGGTAGTTTGAGGATCGTCACTTAAAAAAAAACCCTGTGGGATGTTAAGTGTTGAAGCCAGTAAACATGTTAACGGGCGGTTTAGGACACCCATAATGCTCCGAGAGCTAAAGATGACGTGCTTTGAGTCAAGCAATGATGTAATCTCCAGCTGACATGCTAATACGCAACTCAATAAAATGTCCAGACTTATAGATGTTTACAGTTTTTTTTCAGTGTGTTTTTTGCAAGCCACTGTGTTTAGTGTAGTGCAAAAACTGTGTTATCTAGATGAAGTGTCATGTGAAATGTATTGTAAATAAATATAAACTTTGGCTGGCCTCTTTTACTTTGACCAAAGTCTGAATATTGACCTAATGTTGCAGGTTCAACCAATGAGAAGGTTGAAATGTCATATGTTTTGCCCTAATAAAGTAAAACCATAATTAAAGTCACACTTACAGCCTTTTGTGTCTTAACTATGAGCACAAAGTCCACTTTTGCAGCTTTAGGTAATAAAAATGTCAACTTAGGTTATGCCTGGCTAGGATCCAGATTCAGAATCACCACAGGTTGCTTTCTGTGGTGGGCAAGACTGAAATCCAATATAACCGGAACAACAAAGGGGAATGTAGAGTTGTGCTCAAGGGTACCTTGTTTACTTGTTTCTCACACAAGCCTGGAGTGTTTTTCCAAGAGCTGATGATGTCATTGCAAAGTCATTAAGCTGGACCAGCTTGGTAGCTGGTAAATACAACTTACAGATTGTTGTGAAATTCGAATATTGTAGGGTAGATGCAAGAGTGTTTGTGTGTGTGCGTGCATGCGTGCGTGCGTGCATGCGTGTGTGTTTATGTGTACACACACACACACACACACACATATACATACAGTATACATATATATTAATAACAATGTTTGCAGAGACTTTACAAACATGCGCCTATATAGAAAGTGTATTATTCTTAAAGATTTAATCACGTAAGATCACAATTGGATAAAGGGGGAGGCAAGAAGGTCCCTGGATCAAGCCCCGGCTGGGACAGTTGGCATTTTTGTGTGTTCGTGTGGGTTTGCTCTGGGTGCTCGGGTTTCCCCCACAGTCCAAAGACATGCGGTATAAGTTGATTGGATGAACTAAATTGACTGTAGTCTATGAGTGTGTGTGTAAGAGCGAGTGTGTATGGGTGTTTTCCAGTACTGGGTTGTGACTGGAAGGGGATTCGCTGCATAAAACATACAGTATGCTGGAATAGTTGGTGGTTCATTCTGCTGTGGTGACCCCTGATTAATAAGGGACTAAGCTGAAGGAGAATGAATGAATGAATGAATGAATGAGTGAATGAGTTGAAAATAAGAAATGTAACCTGACATATAAGCAAGTTGCTTTAAAGGTCCCAAAAAATTGTCTTAAACAGTTTCATGATCTATTCTGTCATTTTTTCATTAAGATACGTGCATTTGTTTGTGTATCTGTGGATTATCCTCTGTGTTGGACATTAGGACTCAACAATGTAGCTTTACAACGACACTGATCTTACGTCAGATGATTAAAGCAGTGTATGATTTGATGAATCATAGTGTCATTTTTTTTTTTTTTTCACAAAAAGGAATATTTCATCTGCTACATAAATCCTAGTCATTTTGATTGCTCATATTCCACGTCTGCATTGTAAATTTAAGCCTTATCTCTCTTGGTTCTTCTGTCACAGATGAAATCTCCAAGATGTGCGAGGTGGACGAAACTACAGAACCAGTCAGTCCCACACTGCTCAGTGAGTCCACTGACACCTACTGCCAGACCGACTGCTGGCATCCGCTACGCACGACTGTCCGCAAGCTGGAGTTTTGGGAAGACTTCAGCGCTGAGCTCATTGGGACCGGCTTCTTCTCCAAGGTCTACAAGGTAAGGCTTTCTGATCGAAAATGGAGATGGAACATTTGCAAAAAGTGTATTAAAACTGATAATATCTTTGTGCCCATCATGAAGTGATAGATTGCAAAAGTATACACAGAGCACATTTGTCTAAAGCAGGGGTGCTACATGTATTCAAAAGAATCTAAACAACTTTTTCGGACATTGCATATTTGTACATTACTGTAACATGTTTTATTCAAGAACATTTGAGCTGGTTTCAGTTCTTAATTCTTTCGTTTTCAATTCATTTAATATAAATTTATTTTACTTGTGTGTTGATTAAATCCCATTTTGTTATTTAACCTATTATTTTTATGCAACAATAAAGTTGTAAGTTAATTTTCCATGCAAAGAAAATAAAATAATTTAATATTGGCATGCTGATTTATGTGAAATCATGATTATAGGTCTTTATAATCACCTTGCAATTTTGAAATTATTGCTTATTTTGCTTTGAGTAGGTCATTCCGTTCATAAGATCAGTTCAAACTTTTCTGAAGTTTTTAAAGTAGAATCAGTTTTTTACTGTAGAAAAAAAAATCTTGCATTTTGAAAAATGTATTTTTATCGGCTAAAATATCAGTTATTTGCCTCCAAATCTTAAGAGTTATCGGTTACCAATATCAGCAAAAAAAAAAAATCCTTATCGGTGCATCCGTAGTAAATATATCAAACTTTATTACAAAGTTGCCATGGGTTGTTTTCTAATTTATTTAAAAAAAAAAAATAAATAAATAAACAGAAAATGTTTCTTTAATCGTAATAACTGTTGCATTATACATTTTTAACATTTTATAATAACCTTATTACAGTAAAAACACAAACAATTCCATTTCTAACACAATAGAGTTAAATGCTGAATAGTCAAGCTGCACCTGCCTTTACCTTGATTTGCTCTTTGATGTTTTCTGCATCGTGCTCCATCGAACGACAGTATGTTCATTTAAAAAAAAAAATTATTCACAATATTTATTCGAAACTATTAGACTTTCTCTTCACTGATCAAGTGCTGAAATGGAGTCTTTTCTAGGTGGCATGGAAGCTCTACAGATTCTTCAGTTGTCTGATTAACCCCTTTTCAATCCAACTATAAATGTAATGTTGCTATTGGAATTTATTCAGTTTTAAGTGCATCTAATATTTAGTTTTCTGCCTCAGTAAGTCTCAGTTTTCCATGATAAACCTCTGATAAGCATGTATTTATATATGTGTTGTGTATATCTATTGTTCTGTTGCTTTCGCTTTGATCATTATGATATTTATTGTATTTTAATTGCTTAAATAAAAAAACTCCCCTTTCTCTGAATGTATCTTTAAAAAAAATTAATCACAAATAAATAATGCATTTTAAAAAGCTGCATGCAATAATAGACACTGATACCACTGATACCGGATCTGATTAGATGATCTGCCCTTTAGAGAAAGTGCGCTGATTTGATCAAAGCTGTAAAAATGATGCATGGAGACCTTCAAAATGAATGTTTTCTTTCCATCACAGCCTTTCAACAGCAAAGTTAAAATTCATTATATAATTCTAGTGTAGATAACAGTTTGGTAATTTTGTTATTTACACACCTGAATTCTGTTGCCAAAATGTTAAGTAATCTAATGATTTAGTCTGGAAGTCACGGCCTTGTTATTCCCTACACCAGAGCTTTACAGACATGACGTGACTGTAGGCTTCTGAAAACAAGCTGCGTCCTGCAGACACTCTTTAAATAACAAAGAAATACTTTTAACATCATGTACTGTCGCCACCCAGTCAAGCTTAAATGGCCTTGAAAGTCTTCTGGAACAAGAAAATAACTAGTTGATTAAAGAAATACCTGTGACCACATTTCTTCCTATGCTATCTTTGTTCGACAAAATGTTACTGCTGCATCTCTTTATCACTACTGTCCTATTGTAATTTTTTAGTAATAGTGTGGATCAGTTATTATTTTCGTATTTTGTGTTTAGCTTAGCTTCATATTTTGGTCCTACTTTATATTCAGTGGCCTTAACTACATGTGCTTGCATTCAAAAGGGACCTATATTTTATTATAGCTTGTTTTTGATTATTACCTTTAAAAAATGTCTATTAGAGCTGTGTGATTTGGGCAAAACTTTGAAACCAAAATATTCCCATATAACCGATGTCCTGTTTTTCTTTGATATTAATTTGTCTATGAATGCTTCTGAAGCAGCAGATGCCATTATCCCAATTGTCCTTGATTCAAATTGCGATTGCGATTCTAGTTTAATTAATCGCACAGCCCTAGTCTGTATAGTTTTTATCATTTTTATTGTTCCTTTAGTTATTTTAGTAAATTATTTTTTACACATTTACATATTTTTCTATTTACCATATTTTATTTTAATTAATTAATTTATTTTATTTTATTTTAATTATTGTTCATTTATTTTAAGTAACAAAGTTTTAGTTTGAAGCTTTTGGTTTAGTTTTGTTACAGTTTGAAATTAGTTTTTATTTTTACATTTTCTGTTTTCTTGTGAGAAAGAGAAAAGTGATGACATGATTTCTTAGAAGCTGAAAAAAATCATAAACCATTTTTAATTGTAATCAGTTCAAGTTTCTTTTATTTTAAATAAAAAATAGTTAAAGTTTATTATTTTTGTTAACTTTAAGCCCGGTTCTATTAACTTTGCAACTAACTTAAAAAATCAAGGGGACCAAAATGCTAAAAGGGGATTTTCAGTGTGGAAATGAAACAGTTTGTGCTTGATATTATCTTGATTGAAAGTTGTAAGATTCACTGGAGCTTTACATTAGCCTAGCGATGGAACACAGATAACATGTTTAATATCACTACACAAAGCACATGAAAAGCTTCACTGTGACCATTCTCACACCACGGGCCAAGAAATGATGACGTTTTTACTTTTTATTTTTTTTAAAGAACATAATGTTCCATAAGTGACACGTACTGTAAAGCAACTAACTGGTTTACCTCAAGGCAAAATAAAAGTGATTCTCTTTTTGTTGTGAATGTGTTTACAGGGAATTAACATCTGAAAGGAGGAAATCCCTCTTGTTGAAAACTCCTGCTCTATACACGAGACACCTTCAATGCCAAGTCAGTAATCTTGTAATTTTCTCAGGTGATGCACGGCACTACGAAAAAGGTGATGGTGGTGAAGATCTACAAGAACGACGTGGATCAGAACAGCATCGTGAGGGAGATCAGTTTACTTCAGAAACTCTCCCACCCAAACATAGTGAGGTGAGTCGCCTCTGCAAACACCATTAATCACTTCCTGTAGTCCCACGCCAGCCTGATGCTTACAGCACCCACTCAGACTCTATTGCCTTATACTGAAAAATAAGAGCTGATGGGGAGCTGATCCCTGAGATTGAACAAAGGTGACCAGTCTATGGTTACTGTACATTATATGGGTTATTATAATATTAAAAACATCAACCTGTGAGTCTGTATTTTTGAATAAAGATGCATGCATACTAATTTTCACTGTGAATTTTCAGTGAAATCTTGCAATGATAATTGCAAATCACCTGAACACTAGCATGAATAAGAAAATAATAAATGGCAGGCAGCCAACAGTGTTGATCTTAACTCCCTCATGTTGTATTGTCATAGCTTTATTTATTAATTTAGCAAACCTTTTTATCTAAAGCGACTAATAAGAGAGGGTAAAAGAACCACTTCAAGTGATCAAGGTCTAAGTTAGTTTGAATTAATTTTTTACTCCAGCATATTAATAGGAAACAGAATGTGTTTCCCACAGATGGTTTGTCAAGCCCACTTACCTGTGTGGATGACACTTAGTATTGCTCAATGTTTTCCAAGAAGCATGGGGTGCTTAAAAGAAGGTGTCTGGTGTAAATGGAGTGGAAACCACTTTTTTTTTCTACAGGTGGTTTGTCAAGTCCACTCACCTGCATGAAGCACTGAAGAATTGCACAGTGTTTCCAGAAAAATGGAATGTTAATATCAAAGTCAAAGAAAGTGAGAGTGTCATAAGGAAGATTATTTGACATGATTATTTAAGTCAGTGATGATGATTTTCAGAATTTTGAAAAGAGAATGTAAATAAAAATCGTCTTGTTTCAGAGTATTATTATTATTACCTTTACCAGGAAAGACACATTTAGATTAAAAATCACTGTACAAGAGCGTCCTGGCCAAGATTGGGCAGTATACATGTCACATGGGTCTAATAAACAAAATAGACTATTGACAGTTAACATGAATCGACCATTGACAAACAAACTATTCAAAACATCTACAAGCCTGTGTTTCAATTTCTAATTCAGTTATACTCTTATCAGCTATATCAGCTATATTTTGTTTTTGCAACTTTGTTATTAGATCATTCCATGCAAAAGATACTGCGTATTTAAAAGCCTTTTCCCATCTCAGTCCGCACTTTAGGAACAGACAGTAAATAAATATTCAATATAAGAGTACTGGTCTCAGTCTAAAAAAGAAACCACAACACTCACGTAAACATTATTTACTCTTTAAAGTCCCTCTGAAATCAAAGTTAAAGTTTGTTTTTGGTGTTATATTAAAGTTAACCTTAATTATAAGCAAGTGTACTTCACAAAACTACATTTGCATTTAGAAAACATAATCGAAACTTGCAGTTCCTCACCTTTGCCAATATGGATCAGTGTTTAAACATTTTATTTATTTTTATCCATTGAATAATAGAGACATTGGTGAACACTATACGCAATTTTTCCAACCAACCACCAAGATCCTGTTAATCCTGTTAATCCAAAAACAACTCACAAATACTTTGAGGACCTTAGCAATTACATAGCACCACCCTAGCATTCTAGTAGTGAGTTTTTAGTGTGAACTAGGCATAAAATGCTGTTTAATGCGTTTTGGCTTCAAGTCCACACAAATCCAGCATCCTCAACCTGCAAATATGAAGTGTTTTGAAAATGCTAAAGAACCTCCTCCAGCATAGATGGACTGATGCCAGCAAAATATGAGCAAGCTCAGTAAGTGTGCATGGCCATGTATTATGCGTTTTAGACTATAGTGTGGATGGAAGCTCAATAAAAACACCAGTCTGGGTGAGGAGCGTTTTCATTCTTAAAAAATAATTTAAACTTTTATAAAACAAAAATTTAAAACAAAAATACTAGTGTAAATGCCACCTAAAATTTGATTGAAAATGTTAAAGCCTTCTTTAATTGCACTTCTAAAAAGCTGAAAAGTTTAGATTTAGAATTAAATACAAATCACAAGTCGATTTGAAGATTTGTCTTTGCCTTGTCGTTGCGAATGATTTCAACTTCAGTTTCTCAGTTTATAAAGTAAAATACTGTGATTTTTCTTTACATCCTGTAGGTACCTGGGAATCTGTGTCAAGGAGAACAAGCTGTACCCAATTCTCGAGGTGGGTAAAAACGTTCAGATACGAACAATCATAATTCACCATAGTACAAGAAATCTTTTGCCTCCTCCATGTGCAGCAAAACTAAACCTCATGACACCAGTGACTCATCGTTTAAAGTGTCAAGAGTATATAATTTTCTACAAACTAAAAAAAAAAAACCCTGAAAGCTTGCTGCAAAAGTGATCTGCATCTTAACTGTATAAATCAGGTCAGCATTGGAAGTGTTTTATAATCCTGTGTCCTCCTCCATCTAGTATGTTAGCGGAGGCTGTCTGGAGGAGCTGCTGGCCAGAGCTGACGTCAGTCTCTGCTGGAGGGAGAAGATCGAGCTGGGCTGTGATATCAGCAGAGGAATGGCATATCTGCACTACAAGAACATCTACCATAGAGATCTCAACTCGAAGGTCAGGATGAGCCTGTTGGCAGACTTTAAGGTTCAAAGTTAAGCAATTACTGTATGTCAAAGAGGTATTACGAAACATCACCTCACAGCAGTTTTCAACTTTGATTCAAAGGCGTCTGTCAAGATCACGCCTTGCATTTATAGATAATGACAGAAATTTACTCAAATTAATTATTATGCACTAATATTGCTACCTGTAATGCTCTATTAACTTGCCTGACCACCCAGAACACCCTGTAGACAGAGCAGGTATTTTAAGTACCTTAACAATTATATCAAAACACCCCAGCGTTATGGCAGTTTTGGCTTGTCACTGCTCAAATTTAGTTTAAACTGTACAGATTTACTAAAAATACACTACTGAATGTCTAGATTCAATTATAAGTGGCAAGTCAGTCAAAGGATTATTCCCATTACTGCCAATGAATATTCTAAACATTGCATAATTCATCTGTTTATGAAGTAAAATCCCTGAGTCATAATTGAAACAAAATGTTTTTTCAAATAATTGATTCAGCAAGCATTACGCATGCAGATTATAACAGATGTATGTGTGTAAACTTTGCTTACATTTTCTCCTTTATAACATAATTTTCTCTTTTATTGCTTATGTGCAGATTGGGATCTGATATTATTTGTAAGATAACCATAATCTTTATACCATTATCTTATATAATCTTAAGAATTGGGTTAAACAATTTATTGTTTGAGCATAAATATCTCAAAGTGTGTATCTGCAATAATCACATTGCAGGACTAGATTATTTATTAAAGATTAAAAGAAAGATAATATTAAATATTATTTTTATATTGTATAATATTACATATACAATGATGACCATGTTTTTTTTATGCTTAATTTTTCAATATTTGTATTTGAATACACTTAGACCCCACCAGAAAACCATGAAGCACTGTTTATTTAACTTATTTTTGTATTTTTATATGCCTGTAATTTATCACATTATATGCAGATTTCTGCATAGAAAAAGACTTGGTGATTACGGTTGATCTAAATTCATGAAATCTTTCTGAATAAAGCTATTTAAATCATCTAGCAAAATTATATTTATATCACAATATATATCAAAGCAAAACAAAACATCGCAATGTCAGATTTTTCCAATATCATGCAGCCCGACTTTACACCATTATTTCACATGATCTAATTCATGTAGATATGAAGATTGGATGAAGACTGTGATGTAGCTTCAAAATTTATTTTCAAACCGGAAGAACGAATTTGCTCGAAATTATGCAAAAACAACCAATTTTCACTTTTTTTTAGTTATATATGTGTCGTCATTGTGTTTTTAGCCATGTGGGACATATGTATGACTGTCAACATCTCAAAAATGTGTTTTGGGGTTTCGTGAGCCTTTAAAATCTATTGTAAAAACATATGAAATATTGTAAATAATTTAGTTAGTTGCACTGCAAACATGTTTTGCATTGCATTGACAAAGCAACATCTACAAAGTATTGTCTCAGAACTAAATTCACTCTTTTAAGCCCTACATTGAACCAACTAAATTGAAGTAATTACTTGCATTGTTCAATTACATTTATTTTCTTGATTTAATGGGAGCTTTTAGACATCTTGTAGAAATATAATCGAAATATAAAATCTCCTTATAACATTTGCAAAAAGAAGTATAGTCGCTTTTAAATTAGCATCACTATTGAAATAATAAAGAGTAGAAAGGCATTTTGTTACAGGTAATGCTCAGGGTGTTTTTCAATGTGTAAAAGGTTACGTGATTGACTTTATCTTGAGTGAATGATTCTGGAGAGGCGTGAGGCCATATCAGAGATTTTACTATGGTTATGTATTCTATTCATCTGTTATGATGATAGCAGAGAGATGGAAGGTAGATACCAAAAACACACAGAATGTGAAAAGCTGTGCCACATTCCTCCACAATTCACACACCATGGGCCAAGATATGTCAACATTTTTAGGTTTAGAACATTGCGTCCTAAAGGAGACAATTGTGGTTAAACAGGATTAGCCCAGAGGAAAATAAGGGAATCGAACTTAAATTAAATGTCATTCAGGAAAATAAATAGTTTTAAGTGAAAGAAGGTGCATTGCTTGGATTAATGGTTAAACCATTCCTGTTGGTCTTTAGCAACTCTGGAAGAGATCTTGATCTTGTGCACATTTGATTCATTTTCATATTTTACTTGAATCCTAATAATTTAATCAAATTTGTGGGATGTTTTGGTAATATTTGTGCAAAGCCCCCATTAATTTCCATTATTTTATACTAACTAAAAAAGATTAAATATTATCTGTTTTCAAATAAGTTTTTGTAAAAAAATAAATAAAAAATAAATAAATAAATACATATATATAATAAAAAGCCGTGTAAAAGGGGTGGTTCTTTTTTTTTTCTCAAAAAGTGGACCCTTTTGATTCTTTTACTGTTTAATTATGAGATTTAAATACTGCATTTCAGTAAAATTTTAAGCACTATTTTAGGTGAAATATATCGTCAGATGGTCATCATGATCAAAAAAGTTCATTTAAAAATGAATGGATAAAAACAATAGCCAAAGTAGTATTCAAATTCATTTTAATATCAGTCGCTTTTGGTGCTTCACATCTTTTTATTGGTCATTTTTTGTATCAAGACTAAGGTCCAAGATTTAGAATAAAAGTTACTTGTAAAATATTTTCTCTATTTAAAAACAATACAGTAGCGAAAGATGACTTTGCTTACATCAGATTGTATGTTTTCTTGCACAGTTGCAAGAATTTTTTGTGTACTGGAATATTTGTGTGTACTGGCCAAAACTGATTAGCTGAAGTCACATCAAAGCGACAGCCAACAGAGCATTCCACTTGGTCTAAAACCTTTTTCAATGCATTATTTTCACTATGGCACAGCAGTCAAAATACGACAAGTGAGCTCATGTATAGGACATGAACTCATGTATGTATATTCTGGACCTTTGTGGGTCAACACTTCACCAATTGATGAAAGTGAAGGAAACAATACGTATGATATAAAATGAATATATATATATGATTTATATAATAATGATTGACAATCATTAAAGTATTTAAGGGTTAACAGTAGCAAAAAATAAGTAAATTAATTATTTTTATAGGCAGGGCAAGTTTATTATATAGCACATTTCATATTCAATAGTAATTCAAAGTGCTTTACATAAACAGGAATAAAAAAACAGTGATTTAAAATGATTAAAAATTATTGAAACTGATTAAAATGTGTTAAAGCAGGTTATAAAAGAATAAAAAAGAAAAGAAAGACATAATAGTGCGAACTGTTAGACGTAGCACAGTGCTCATTCAGTGTAATATACACTTTAAAGAGCAAGTAGTTGAATTTACCTAAAGTGAATAAACCCTTTGCTTTAAATTAAGTGAATGAACTGCATAATTAGAACTGTTAAGTTGACTTCAACTAAATTTTTATAAGTTACAATAAGTTTGCTCACTTTGAGTAAAGACAACGTGTTGCTTTTAAGGCTAGGGGTTTACCTACTTTAAGTAAAGTATGTAATTGCTTTTTACACTGTATTTATTGTTATAGTTAAAACTGCAATTTCCTTTTTTTTTTTTATTCAGGGAGTTTAAATGTAATGTTCAACTTCCAAACCTTTCTCCCTAATCCTTTGATCAGCATTGTATATGATGACAAAGAAAGGAATGATGTTGCATTTGTGGACATTCTGTAAAGCTGCAGTGAATTTTAGTTGTGCTCCTGACAGATTTAACTGTGTCAGTTGCCAGGCTGCAGTGTGCAGTGAGCGCAGGCCTCTGTGTGTGTGGAGGTCAGACCTTTATTATGCTAATGCTGTACATTCACCATGCCACAAACTCCAGACCTGCTTTAACTCGCTTTTCTTTCCTTATCGCTTTCTCATAAGAAATGACCTGCTGACTCTTGTCAACTTTTATTCCTTTATTCTCTCAGCCCTTTCACACACTTACAGTTTTGCCAAAAACTTGGCCTTGTTTTTTATTATATAGCTAGATTTTCTGATTTTCTGAAGAATTTGAAAGTGGTTCTTTTTACTCACTGCCACACAAGGATGCTTTACCGTTAAATTAACTGAAATACTTAAATAAAATGGCTGTAATTTGTTTAATCAAGTTTACTACTAATACAAACTATTACTAAAATCAACAAACTGTTCAAATGTACAAGAGATCTGGTGCACATTTGATTGTTTTTATTTTTTACTTTAATCACATCAGAAGTGTTAAGTTTAGTCAAATTTGTGGAGCATTTTTAAAAATTTTGGTTTCATTTCGCAACCGGACCCTATTCATTTCCTGGGAAATTAACTATTCCAATAACAATAATAAATATATAGTTACAGTATACACTGACAGATAATGTATATAGTTAAAAATCACTTTCAGAAAGTTTTTTTTCCAGCTTTTGCATAAATAAAAACAGCTTGTTGACAATTAAAAACGGACAGCTAATCAGAGACTATCATGCTTTATGAGATGAAACCTTTGTTTTTGTTCAGATCTTTTTCATGAATATTTTGGTCAATAAAACAACAATTTCAAAAATATTTAAAAAACAGACAAATTATTTTAGCTCCAGTAGAGCCCCCCTCCCAACTGCACCATTTCTATACAATATATTATATTATGCACATTTTAATCCGTTAAACATCATGTCATGATATATATGTACATACAATACAAGTAGATACAAGTTTCCGTATATGTTTACTCATCTATTGTACATATATATACGTACACAATCAATGAGTCACAATAGGCTTGGCAAATATGAAATAAACAAATAAAAAAATAGATAGCAATTCAAATAGAATTAAATGAAGGGGGAAAAAAGTGAGAAGCAAACAAAGAACGGTCAAACTGCAAATATTAAGTTTGGATCCATTTGCTCTATATATGTCAGCACCGGCTGCCAAATAAGATCACATCTTTAACTGCAACCTTAGGTGGAGTACTGAATCTTCTCCATTGTAAGATGGTACATAAGATGGTCATTAGATGGTCCCTAATCCAATGATAAAAAATTGGAGGAAATTTGTCCTTTTATTTGAGCTGTAAAAGACTTCTAGCAATAATATTGAAAAAGATATCATACTTTAGGTATTATTGTCTAAACTTTGATGTGTAATTAAACCAAATACTTCTACAATAGGGCAAGGGTCAATTGATACATGCAAAAAAATTGAAAAGAAATGAAATAATAATTGCTAGAACTTGGGTTTAGAACATGACCAAAACGTGTGTGTGTGTGTGTGTGTGTGTGTGTGTGTTTTGATTTGTGATCACTTTATCATCTATACACTGAACTTTTCAAAAATACTAAGGATGAACGTCCATTTTACGTACAATACACCTTGTAAAATGTTCATCGGACATAAGATAAATGAAAGGGGTCTATAAATGATTGACGACACATTTATATATTGAACTTATAGCCCTGCAGATTTATTTTCATATCAAGTTTTTGGATATCATTTGGTATAAACTGAGCCCTGGATGTTTCAATGACTCACAACCTGATTGACAGCCTTGTGTGTGTGTGTGTGTGTGTGTGTGTGTGTGTGTGTGTGTGTGTGTGTGTGTGTGTGTGTGTGTGTGATTAGCTATCTCTTTACTTCACACCTATTACATAAGAGATTTATAGAATTTTAATTTTGCTTTTGTCCAATGTAGGCATTGGATCACTTCAAACTGAAAAATTATATGTCGCAGACAAATTGAAGTTGAGTGAATCTTATTTATAATGACTTGCCTAATTTCCTCTGTAAAAGATGAAACTTAACTTTTAAAGTGTGAGGTAACAATCACCATGCCTTGATGTGGACACTAATATAGTTAGTTATGAAATCTTGAGCCAATATAATCAAATACAAATTTTAATATAACAATTTAAAATGTAACATATCAAGACAAAATTATTAATATTTATTATTAGGGTAGAAAAAACTTAAGTGGGCTAATACTATTGACCCTAGCAGTTTTTTTTTTTGTCAACATTTTGAAAGACTTTCTCCAGAAGGAAAATATTTAGAAAATACCATGAAACAAACATAATCAATCTCCTCTGAAATTGTAATTATTTTTCAAACATTTCCCCAGAGGTTGAGTAAGTTTGTCTTAAACTGTACGTCTTTCCTGTCACTTTTGTTTTGATCAAATGAATGGGTGCTTTATCAGAACCAATTTAAGGAAAAATAAAAAAACACGACATAGCACTGATGAATGATGATTATTAGAAATGTTTATTGAACATCAAATAGTTGTATTAAATTTATTTCTGTAGATTATAAAAAAAAGCAGTACTTATGTTTAAATATACTCAGCTACTGTCATTTTTGCACTCTAACCTTATTTCTAAACTTGAAAAACACACACACACACACACACACACACACACACACACACACACACACACACACACACACACACACACACACACGCACACACATCACAGAAACAAGATACTAATCAAAATGTGTTCTGGACATGCTTTTAGTGGTATTTTTTGATATCTAACTATAAGTGAGTACAATTGATCCCTCATAAGTATAGCTAAACCTGTACACACACACACACACACACACACTCACACACAATCACACAATCTCTCCCTAATGTAGCACACAGTCACTCAGCACAGAAGAGTTTTACTCCTCTACATTACTGCTTGTGTAACTTCAAGTTCAGGTTTCCTGCCGGAGGTACCGATTGATTCATGTCAGCGGATGTGTTTAAAATGGAGGGATTGTGTTTCTGACACACATGATCTCACACTCAGATTCTCATTGATGTGTTCTTGATGTACACCTGTGCTAAAACACTGCTGTCTGTGTCTGCATTCAGGACGCTCTGCTGTTTTTGACATGATGTGTTTGCTCTTCCCATTCAGCATCATGCTGTCAATTTTATTTGTGTATTTCTCTTTTTCATGTGAATTAGACGTGTAATTGGGAATTATTGTATTGGAAAATATAATTTAATTACATTTGTTGAGCGTAGTTGAGCACAAAAATAGTGCTGTTTAACAGAGCTTTTTTCACCAACATATTTTGAAACAATTGTTTTATTAGCTAATAGCTAAGTGTGTCTTTGCCATGATGACTGTACATGTATTTGCAATCTAGATATATATGTAATTATATATAAACAGTTCAGATGTAAATACCTCTAAGTGCCTCTAATTTTCTTCTAAAATGAGCATTTTTCTTTCACTTTTAAGGCCATAATAAAAAAAATCTGCCCTTTGCCCATGTAAAAATGTAAATGAATGAACATGCACACACTGTAAAACCCAACAGTCGACGTTATCAAATGAAATGAGTGTAGTGAACTCAAAATTGACTGAAAGTCAATTCTACTCATTTGAAAAGAGTTTTGAACTCAATGTTGAAGGTAATAAGTTACTTCAACTTAAAAAGATTGAGTTCACAGTACTCATACAGATTAGTTTTTTTTTTACTCAAATGGTTTGTTGCAGTTACCTCGAACGGTTTGAGTTGCCTTAACTTATTGTGTTTAACAGTACTCAGTTGGTTTGAGTTCTCTTCATTTATTGAGTTTTACTGTGCTCAAATTGCTTGGTTTACTCAAATGGATTGAGTTCACAGTACTCATTAGGATTGGTTTTTGAACTTAAATGGTTTGTTGCAATCGGTTTTCTCAAATGGTTTGAGTTACCTTAACTTTTTGGGTTTTACAGTGTACTGGAGCATGAAAAGAATGTCTGATTTTAGAAGAAAAACTCTTTAGAAGATGGGACTTAGGTTTTTGCATCTGAACTTTTCATATGTGTACTTTATTATTAATTATTAGCAGTAACAATGATTTGGTTTAGTAAAACTTAATTTAGTATTTTATTTATATTTAATTATATTTAAATTTTATATTGTATCAATTATTGTTATTGTTGTAAGCAGAAAATAAATCTATATTTAAATATGATTTGTTTATTGTTAACTTAAGTGCATTAACTAAGGTTACCAAGCATGACTTGAAAATGGGGTGGAAATTTTTATTTTATTTTATTTTATTTTATTTTATTTTATTTTAAGCTTCAGTCATCCTAAAGATCAACACTGCCACCTTGTGGAGCAACACTGACATCTGTTTTGAGAGATTATGGCACTGTCCCTCAGCTGACTCTGATCTGCAGGTCATTGTTTTGGTAATCTGAGATTAAAATAACAGTTGTGTTTTACTTGATTCCCACCCCCCGACCCTTATACCACTGTGAAAGGTGTGAGATAAAAATCCAGGCTTCATGCTGCATGTGTTGTTTGTGTTGATGCAGAACTGTCTGATCCGCATGTCGTCACGTGGACGAGAGGCTGTGGTGACTGATTTCGGCCTGGCCAGAGAGGTGGGGGATCTGCCTGCGAATGACCCCGACCGGAAGCTCTCTCTGGTGGGCTCCGCTTTCTGGATGGCCCCTGAAATGCTCAGAGGAGAGCCGTATGATCGTAAGGTAAGAAATACCAACCAAAATGACATATTGAAGTGGAGTGTGTGATATTTGACGTCTTTGATAATGTCGTAATTGTTGATTTTATGATGTGTGCACTCACATTATGTGCATAAGTGTGAAAAAAAAAAAAAAGCAAAACAACTCAACAGCAGTATGAAAATATTGTCATTGTTGTTTTAGGAATGTGCAAAATGGCACTGTCGAGTATTATTGAGTCTCTCATTTTAGTATACACACATCATTCAAAAGCATTGACTGTGACATTTACTGACCATATAATTCAAGTTATGAAAGAACATTTCCCGGTATGGTTATAACTTGCTCGTTTCATTTCAGGTTTGTTTTAAATCAAAATCAAATTTCAGTTTATTTCTATTGAATCATTTAGTTTAAATAATTAAATTTATAAATGATTTAATTAAATACATTTCAGTTTAGTTTTGTTTCAATTTCACAACGAAATGTGCAGCAATAACCTACCTTTTGATTTTACTGTACAGTCTTATTTTGTAAAAAGTGAATGAAATTGAATCATTCATTCATAAATACACGATTGATTTGACTGTTTTGAATTTGGAATCCTGGCCAAGGATTCAATGATCCATTTATAAAAACAGACACGTGCCTCATTTCTAAATCATGCTGTTTGGCGATTCTAAAGAAAACTTGGGAAAATTGTATTTAATTAATTTATGTTTTCTGTCGGCCAAGTTAAACAAGTTTATTGGTGCCAAACCTTTTTTTTTTATCTAAACATAAATATTAATAATAATAATAATAATAATAATAATAATAATAATTATTATTATTATTATTATAATTATTATTATTAAAGGTGCAGTAGGTGATTGTCTTCAGAAGCATGTTTTGTTGTGCTGGTTGAAAGTCTCTTACAATCTAATAGTGATGATTACAGTAAATGATCTAAATGTATTTATATTTATTTTTATATTTTGCGTAAGGCATAAAACTAAAAAATGTTCATCCAATTAAATAGAATCGGGCCGACATCTCTCATAATTCGGATAAGCAGCCCAATCTGTCTGTCAGCAAATGTAGATTTGAACATCTGTGCAGCCTTTTGTATGCAGCTCCGCCGACCGCCCTGCGTTCACGAGAGAGAACAAGCGTGTGATCTGTAAAAATATGCTAGATCAAAACATTTTAAAAACCTGAATTAATATTGGAGTTACCTTTGCACGCTGGAGAAAGGATCACACAATGTTTGAAGGATTTCTCTTAGACAGGTAATGTTCTGTTTTAAAATTGTTTTAGCTTCACGCAAAGCTGATGTAACGTTAGATGTTCTTGTTACAAATGGGTTATACCTTCACAGAAGTGTTGTTCAGCTACTAAAACCTTTCGATGAAAGATTGATAAGACTATTTTCAGTTTCATAAGACACCTTTTACAGCATCGATAATATAGATTTTAATTAGTTTAACAACAAAACACAAGTAAATACCGCTATTCTGCCTAGTCTCTCCCTATATTGTTTACCATGCAACTCTAATATTCACTCTGAAATTGCATGTTAGTCTGGCTTGCACGCTGCCGGACAAGCACTAATTGCTTTTAACACATGAGAGAGGATTCTTTTGCTGTGCTCGTAGACGGCAGGGGAGGAACTGTGATTTAGAGATTTATGCTAAGCTGTTAGCATTGTGGAAGATCATCTACTGCACCTTTAAGTAGGATATTGTTTATTTATTTAAGTTTACTTTTACAATTCGACACATTTAAACCACTGCAGAATGGTTCAAACCAACAGGCTCATGTCAGTACAGTACAGTACAGATACATTTCTTAATAAATAACCTACAATAAAATAAAGCCATTAACGAGTGTTGACATGAAGATAACATGAAGATCGCTAAAACTGAACAGTAAAAATGCTTTTAAAGCAAATTACACCTAAGAGAGATGACTTTAATGTTTTATTTTTTAAAATCATTTGAAGTTTAAATGTTAGAATGTTCTAAATGAATAGGGCATAGGGGAATAACGGGGAAAAGACACAACCAGTAACTATGATTCAAGCTACAGCTCTTGAGGTGTAGTTGCCAGCGTACAGGTTTGCGACACAGTTTGCGAAGGAAAAATGTTACTTTATATTCTTTCATTATATTCATTGTGTCTCTTTAAGGTGTAACTTTATTACATTATTTTTATTTTTGCAACCTTGGTTTGTTTGTTTTTGAGTATATTTCAGTTTTTTTATTATTTATTTGTCTTATTTGTTTTATGTATGTTTTTGTATTTGTTGTTTCTCTTTACTTTAATAATAATAAAAAACATTTCTAAGTTAATCAGCATTTTGAACAAAACGTTTGAATCAATGATTCAGTGAATCAATAGAGAGGAACTTGCTCTCACGTTTTGCTGATTTTAATGTCATTTTTATTCATCCAAATTTAGCCAATGTACAACCCCAGCAAAAATAAAAATCCTCCAAACATATACAGATATTTATTGCCAAGTCAGTCGCCTCTGCTAAGGTGTAGAAATTAGCATTCATTTACTGACAGATTTAATATTAATCCGCATAACCTTTCGCAGTTGCATCTCAATTAAAAATTAACCTTCTGATCTGATGGCAGGTTTATAGGTCAGCTCTCAGGTTTTATAACGAGTAACAGACACATCTGTTTATGCTGCTTTCTCTGTTTAATCACAGGTGGATGTTTTCTCGTTCGGGATCATGTTGTGTGAGATCTTAGCAAGAATTCCTGCTGATCCAGAGGTGCTGCCAAGGACAAAGGTCAGCACTGTTACAGACAAATCTTCAACACTTCATCATGCGTATTTTGAACATCATGCTAACAATGTTTTAGTTCACTTTTCTTTTATAAAATTACCATCTATGATTCACTACAATAATTATTTCATTCCTCTGCATTTTAATTTCAACTTCAGGGTAGCCGCAGGATCTTAAATTTCAAAATCAAAATTTTAGGCCTTAAAAACTCTTACATTCACTGAAATATTATCCTGTCAGTCTTACATCATTTTAAACGGGTCTTAATTTTCTTATGTCCAAGTAAAGCTACCCAATCGGGCAGACATCCATCCAATCACCATCAATCCATCTCAATAGTTTCTTTAATATTGATTTTTTTTATTGCAAAGAGATGCAATTTACAATAGCTGCATTTTTTACAGCAATTTCTCCAAATTAAATTTTCTAATTAGGAAAAGAAAACTTAAAACAATTCCTCATGATAATTACAGAGCAACATCTCACTTTACATGATACATTATACTCAATCAATTTAGACCAAAAGCCAACAAATGTATATTTTTGATTATGTCATTGTCTCCATAATATACTTTTAACAATGTTAATCTTGTCCTTAAAAGAAAGAAATATTATGTTGAAAAAAAAGTCTATGCAACTAGATTTTTCTTTTGTTTTGACACAATAAGTTATGTCACTAAAAAATAATTACTTTTTATTTTTTTTTTGTGGCAACCGACTGGGTCATTAGAAATAGTTATTAGTGTTCAGCCCTGTATGAGTCAAAAATTTTATTCATAACAATCTTAAAAGGGTCTTAAAATGTCTTAAAATTGACCTGATTAAACCTGCTAATCCCTGTGCATGAAGATTACTCAAAAAGCTTTTTTTCTAAAGATTATTTAGATTACGCAAATATTTTGGGAAATCTCTCAAGTTATTTTATGCATAAAAACGCTTTTATTTAAAGAGAAACAAGTTATTTTTCTCATTTATTGTTTATCTTATTTAACTTATTTCTGGAGTAACTTAATCAAGATATAAGAATTGTACTGCAAAATCAGACCAAAAAAAATTGAGGAAAAAAATAAAAAATTTGGGTAAAATAAAATCTTAAAAAATAAATTTCTGTTAAAAATATTAAAAATGTATTATACGTGTTTCATTCATGTCAGAATACTGAAAAAGAACAAATAATAACAATAATACATTTTATTTAAAGGGCACCTATTTTACAAGATATAAGATAAGCCTTTGGTGTCTGTAAAGTTTCAGCTCAAAATACCCATCAGATTATTTATTATAGCCCCAGAATCTGCCCATTTTGCTGTTTTGAGTAGTGTACATGTTTTTTTAGCCTGTGGCTTTAAATGCAAATGAGCTGTTTCTTCCCGCCCACCGCACCCACGTGCTTCTCATGCATTACGTCAGATAAACAGCAGTCAGTGATAGAAACAGACACAGAGAAAGCTGAAATTAGCTCATAAGTCAAAAATTCCAAGTAAGTTTTTCTGAAATTACGAAACTCACACAATTGCCATGTGCAGTACACACACACACACACTTATTAGCTTTTACTTACACCATGCGGCCGTGGTGATTATATCGGTTAAGAATTACATAGCGATTTAGTTTAGTTAATTTCACGGATTACTGATTAGATTAATGTCTTTTGTAACATGCTGAGTTTTAAAAAACGTTTTAAACTTGAAAAAAATCACAGAGACAAATATTGTAACAAATATTTTAATCCCAGTACATTTACGAAAAAATGTTAGGTGGACATTTTATATAATAACATGTATACATGTTATTATGAAGACATTGTACTTGTCAATCAATATGGTGGGCAGGAAATCCTGCACTCCTACGTTACATTGCTGTGGGCCTCAAAATCAAAGGGATTTGGGTCGTATTTTAACATCAGGAAATTAAAAAAAGAGACTTACTGTATTTATATCACTCAAATATGACATCGGACACACTATACATACTGTACACACAGTTCTGTCATCAAGAAACCCAAGGTCACTGTACATCATATATCTACACAATTCTATCATTTAAAAACAATAAAGCGACAGTATAAAAATAGAGATGATAAAATACGAAGACAAAATACAAAATGTAATAGTGCAGTTATAAAGAGTAAAAAAAAAAACAAGCTATAAAACTAATCACATTAAAGAAATTGCTTATAATTTATTTACATTTTGCTTAAATGTGCAAAAACTCTTCATTAATGATATATAAATTCTCGATAAGTGATTTCAGAAATATTTGCTTGAAAGCAGTTATTTGGATTCTTCACTACACAAGATGTTGTCTGTAAATGTAGGCTAATGAAAACCATTTGTTCACTTACAGAAGATCATGCATAATTTAGCATGAGCTCTGCCTTTAGAGAATCTTGTTTATTAATATGCTTGTCTTCCCTGCGTCTGGGATGAAAGGAAGGTCAGCTAGAGCGATTGTCCTCTGGTGTGGTCATTTCTGCTTCATTAATGCTGATGGACAGCCCAGACAACAGATAGATCTGATGTAGGTCAAGGGAACCATCACATCCACATTTACACTCTTTACTACAGGTTTATTCTCAAGCTCCTCTGGCACTTCAAGGATAATGATTTTCTGCTCTGTGTCTGTTTTCACTGGCGTTGTAAATGTATAAGACTAAAGACACATGGTTATGGTCATTAGGTTTTTTTTTTTGTGTGTGTGTTTTCAAAAGAATTCTCTTATGCTCCACTAGTGTAATATATTATTTTAGTATGTCATTCATTCAACATCATTACTAGTAGTGCTGCACAATACATAGTTTTAGCATCGATATTGCAATGTGTGCATCCGCAATAGGCACATCGTAAGATACTCAGTGTTGAGTCTGAGTTATTGTTGACCAGGAGCTACAGAACACATTTTTAGATTTGTAGAGTCGCTGCTAAGTTTGACCTAAATAGAGTGCAAGTTTATTATTTTCATGTGTTTTTAAGGCCTGTGACTAAGCATTTCAAGAATGTTTTAAACAAAAAAAAAAAAAAGAACAAATATATGTATTTTTTATGATTTATGCAACATTTTCTCACTTTTCTTTTAGGATCATTTTCCTGTTTTAGGGAAAACACTAATTTCAACGTTTTCTCTGAAGGAGAAAGTAAAACAATATTTTTACTTGAGTTGAGTTGACTTTATTGGTACCTGTAGGTAGATTCTTTTTGCAGCAAAGTTTGGTATTTGATACAAATGATTAAATCACACATATACAGGTACGTACCAACATATACACATACAAAAGTTCCTTATAAAATGATACAACTTATTCAAAGCGACAATAGATGATGGTACAAAGCTATTCCTGTAACATTTTGTCCTACTAAAAACATCTGAAACGAGTCGCAGGTTAAACTCCTCAGACAGAGGATGAGAGCAACAGGGTTCATACGGTCTTGAAAAACTTGGAAAAGTCATGGAATTTTGACCTGGCATTTTCCAGCCCTGGAAAAGTTTTGGAAAATCAGAATTTTATTTATTTTTTTTTGTGTAAAAGTCATGGAAAACAGATATCTGTATACTTAAGGTTAAGGTCTGTAAGGTTAGTTGTCTTGACTACTTTTCTGCCAATCATATACTCTCACATTATTAGTGCGGTGTGAGCATTATCTTAATCAATTTTACATGGATATAAATATAAGCTGAAACTATAGATTGTTGCATGTTTTTCGATTTGCTGTAATACATTTTAACATGTTTTTTTTTTTTTTTTTTACCACGCATATGTAGACATTGCATGTCACATTAGGTCATGAAAATTTACTTGAAATTTTTGGAAAAATCATGGAAAACTCATGGAATTTATTTATTTATTAACCCTGCAGCTACTAATATTCTGGCCGATCCGTAAAAGCTGCCTACTATACAGGGATTCAATACTCAGCTGTGATTCACCAATCAACCTGCTGGACCACCTGATAACCTGGCTCAGGCCCCGTTTACACTAGTGCGTTTTAGTTTTAAAACGGCGTTGTAGAATGAAAACGATCCGCGTCCACACTCGCGTTTTACCCAGCGTTTCTGAACAGCTCTCCGTCCACACCAAAACGCTGAAAACGCACATCACGTGACCACACACACACTCTCGGGCAAGCGCTCCAGCATTTCTACCCAGATGAGAGCTCTGCTTGTCGGACTGCTCATCACGCATCTCCCGCTGGATCTAATCTCGCTATATTTGCTAAACGTGACATTTCATTCATGTTGTTGTCTTTATCTAACGACATAGGCCAATTCCCTGACTTTGGTCATAGGAATCTATTAAGTTACTTGTTCACGGGTAACATGTTTTGGTTAAGCGCAAAGATAAGTTAATGATTAATCCAGGTACATTGACTGATCGCTTGCCTTTATTTCCTACAATGTATAGACTTATTGTATGTTATACTTTTATAATTATCGATTATTAAAACTGATATTCAGCAAAAGAGAGGGTGCGTTTCGTATTTTCACTGAAATTGAAAGGAGGCAGTTGTTATCGGCTCCGTTTTGTTATAAATATTCACACAGTGAAGATGACGCTCATGCAGCACGGCGCCTCAACATTTCTGCTGTCTGTTAAGTTGCTAATATTAAAAAGAAAATAGTCAGTTGCTTGAATCATGTTTACATTTTATTGTTGAGAAAGTGAAACAATGTAGCCAAGGTGATGTGAATGAAGTTATAAAGTACACTGTTCCCTTTGAAGATTTACCCGTGTCCTCGGTATGTTTTTATATATCAAACTGAGAAGGGGGAGACTGCAGCCTTGATCAAACTTGCTAAGTCTTAACTTACAAGAAGAGGATGCAAGACTGAACTGTGTGTGGGCTACTTAATATTGAGGAAAAGCCCCAATCAGAGAGGCGAACGTTTGCAGCCCTGCCTCCGTTTTCAGATGTCTCCGTCTTTCCCCATCCACACTGAGACGGAGCAGCAGCGTTTCAGAATGAAAACGGCCTCTCCAGCGTTTTCGTAACGCTCCGTTTTCGGCGCTCGAGAACTCCGGCGTAGTGTGGACGGATGGCGTAACCGTAGCAAAACTTATGCGTTTTCAAACTAAAACGCACTAGTGTAAACGGGGCCTAGTCTATTCCTGTTTTTAATGGACAGACTTCCAATCCCTGCCACCAGAGCAAAGGATAGAATAGACTCAATAAAAGCACGATAGAAGAGAGAAAGCATATTGGGGCCAATGTGAAAACATGACAGTTTCCTGAGACAATAAATGCGCTGATGCTCTTTTTGCAAACAGCATCACTGTTTGCCTCAAACTTTAAAAGCGGTCAATACTTGATCCTTGAAGTTGAAACAATGAGACAATGCAGCAAGAAAAGCATATTTTGCATTGTGATTATTCTATTTCTATATGTTCATACTGTTAAACTTCTCAGAAAACTGTCAAATAGAGCTATTCAAACAACCTTGTGAAAGTGTATTCATATCGCAATATTTATCAGAGAAAAATTAAATATTGCAATATCTGATTTTTCCAGTATCATGCAGCCCTAAATACTAGAGTCTTCAGTGTCACATGATTCTTCAGAAATCATTCTAATATGCAGAAAACCTCACTGTTTCTGCTGAATTGTTTATTAAATAAATGCTTGAGATTCTGGTCATCACATATAGAGCTCTGCATGCTCAGGTCCCCCTTTAGATTCAAGTTCTTTTACTTAGTCACTCATGTAGCCGGTCCCTGAGGTCTTGCAAAGACTTTTTAGCCATTTCCAGAACTCGTCTTAAGACTAAAGGTGACCGTGCGTTCTGTGTTGTGGCCCCAGTGCTCTGGAACTCTCCCTCTAGCATTGAGAACTCTGGGATCAGTTGGACTTTTTAAAAATCATTTAAAGACACATTTTTTGGTCACGCTTTTGATTAACAGCATTAGTGTTTCTCTAATAAAATAAAATCAGATCACTTTTATTGTCACATCATCAGCAGCACGTGTGCTTTGATGAGTGAAAAGCTTAGGTGCCGGCTTTAGACAGTACAAAATACAGATAGTGCAAATATAACGACAGTGCAAAATACAGACAGTGCAAATAAAAATGACAGTGCAAAATACAACAGCATACTCCCAAAAAAACAGGACAATGCAAAATTGACAGCGATATGTACAATGAATAGGTGTCCGCATAGTTGTAGGCAGTATTGTTTCAAGTTCAATCTACTTGGATTTTTAATAGGGTTTTTTTTTTATATGTGTTCTTTTACTTGTTTTCTGGTTTTCTTTTATTGTAAAGCACTTTGTGACTTAATGTCTGTGAAAGGTGCTATATAAATAAACCTTTACTTACTTTACTTATTTGCTATTTGCTTTTATATATAAGCTTATATTAATTAAAATAATAAATGCTTCTATACAACAGTTTGTATGTACATTTCAATTCAAATCACCTTTATTTGGAAAGCGCTTTTACAATGTCGATTGGGTCGAAGCAGCTTTACATTTGTCTTATGTCTTCTAGTGCAATTTGAATAAATACAATTTTAAAAATATTAATAATAATATACAGTGCTCAGCATAATTGAGAACACCCCATTTTAAAAATGAATATTTTTATCAATTTTTCAGTGAATAAAGGCAATGTATTTTAGTGCATTTAAACAAAACAGATTTATTAAACAGATATATTTATTAAAATTATATTTTAGCCACCAAACATATTTAGAAATTTAAAGATAATACAATTAAATTCATGCAAAATATTGAAAAAAAATACAACCTACAAAATTTCAACAAATGTTTTGCTTCTCTTGATTTTTCCTCTTTTTTTAAAATCTGTATATAATATTTTTCCATAGCATATAAATTTGGGTTCACTAGTTTTTGGACTGTTTACGTAAGTTATTTTGTTAGATAAGCTCTAGATTTGGCTTCAGTACTGACTAATCTAATATATATACACAAATATAATATTGTATTGCTTCCTATCAAAAAAATATGAAGTTAAAAGATATATTTGTGAGAGGTGTACTTGAGCACTGTATATCATGAATATTAATTGTAATTATAAACAAGTTTTCATGTCAGAATACTAAAAAAACTTGTAGTATAATTTATAAAACGTAGTGTAAAAAACAAATCTAAATGTGATCTAAGATCAACTCGCAAAAGTGCATGCAGTAAGTGTGATTCAATGAAAACGTTCTTGTGCACAAAACCCATGCATACGCCTCTCTTCCAGATGTGACATTTATAAATAGCAAATGATCTTGCAATTGAGCGCAGCTGCTGTCTGAGCTTTGCCTTGTAAAAGCCCCTAATTAATATCATTACCATAGAAAAGATATCTGAATTTCTATGCTTGAGAATTACGATCACAAAGAAAAAAAATGATAATGAGTCTGAAATTGTGCTCCTCTAGAGTAGAAGCACCACATAGAATTTTACAGAAAGAAAAATCGGATGTTTTATAGCATAAAAAAGAAATGATAGTGGGCTTTGTTCTAAATGCACTTCATTCCACTAACTTTTACTAGATAGTCTTGTAATGTTGTTTTGATAAACTTGGTTTTATAGTATTAATTAGTTTGTGAAGTTTGCTTTGAATTCCATGCAGTATGTATATTAAATTTTCCATGTATATTGGCTGCTGACATGAGTTTGTGTGTTGACAGGATTATGGGCTGGATGTGCAGGCCTTTAGAGAGCTGGTGCAGGGCTGTCCAGAGCGGGTTCTGGAACTCTCCGCCAGCTGCTGCCAGGTATGAAAACTGTGCCTGAACACTGAATAAATCCTATATAGAAATCTAATACACGGAAATTATATACTTTGTCCTGTATGACATATAAGTTCATATTTGGATTTCACATATATAAAATATATCATAAACGCATATATTTCTAACTACTTGTCATATATGAACATAATTATATCTAATATATTTGAACATGTGTAATTCCAATTTTTGAAGAAAAAAAAAGTAACACGATCACACGGTTTTATTAGTTAATGTATTTACTGAACAAATTATGAACAATGCTTGTACAGCATTTATTAATCATTATTCAACATTTACTAATGCATTATTAACATCCAAATTTATGCTTATTAATATGAACAAACAAACACACATATTTTAATTAACTAAGATCAGCAAAAACTATAATACTGTAAATGTATTGTTTAGGGATGCTCCGATCAGGATTTTTGCAGTACCGGTACCTAGTACCGATTTCTTGTCATGGTGATTGGCCGATAAAGAATATTGATTCTAATGCGTCAAGTGTTATATAACTTTGCCATTGCATAAGGACATTTCCCTCTAAGTATGAGATCTCGCCTTACTAGTGAACAAACGCTTGCGATTGGTTCACAAGATTGGCCAGATCAGTGAGTACTAATCGGGTCGTGATGTGAATATCGGCCGATAACGATCTTCAGCCAATCAATCAGAGCATCCCTAGTATTGTTCATTGTTTAGTCATGTTAGTAAATGCATTAACCTACATTGACTTATACAGCCTCATTGGCTGCGTCCGAAACCGCCTACTACTCAGTCGGTACTGCATTTGAATGTAAACGTACTACTCGGCCGTTAGAAAAGTACGTTCTATACAGTATGAATGTGAAAAGTTTGAATGAAGTTCGGACGTACTACATCCGCCATTTTGTCATAATCACGTGACCTACCTGCGTCAGTTGCGTCGCCTCACTTCCATTCATGAATTCTCTCACGGGGCATTATGGAATAGCGCAGCGTGCATGGGATGCGCACTCCAGAATCTCGCCGGAAGTCATCCGGGTACTTCTAGCATACTGATTTTCGAATTCTATGAATTCGGACACACTGCTCGGCTCGCATACTGATTTTAGCGTACTATATAGTATGGAAGTATGCGGTTTCGGACGCAGCCATTGATAAGGGTTTTTTTGAACAGTTTTTGCTATGTAGCAGATTTCTATGCAGGAACATCTATCAACAAGTGATTTCACCTTCAGCCCAATCACTCTTCTGAACATGTATATTTTACAGATTTCATTGAAACACCAAAGATTAACCTGTTTCTGCCTTTTTCTCAGATGGATGCTTTCCGGAGACCGTCCTTCTCTGAGCTTCTGGATGAGCTGGAGGACATCGCTGAGACTCTGGAGCCGCCAGACAACAACCTGTCCACAGGCTGAGCTCCACAAATCCCTTCTAAAACAAAGCAAACCCCTGCACTGAAGGACTGAAGAGTCTGCGGCGGTGGACCGTGACTGACACTCTGTTCTCCCACGAGTGCCACATACAGGAGAACGTCTGGTAATTGAGGACAAAAAAACAACACTCGACTGAATGTTCACTCAATAAGCAGTTCTGGACGCCCTCCTTATAGCGTGACACTGAATGAAAGGCAGAATTTGACCTTTTCTGTTTTTTTTATCATGTAGATAATAGTGTAATTCTTTAGGGACCAGTTTTTTCAATTTTATTCACATTAAAAAAAGACCAAATTCATTACAAACCAATTCCTGATTTATCTTGGCTTCAGGAAAATGCAAGTTTACTTTTTTATTCCTGCTAAAAAGCAGGAAATAAGTTTAAACCAAACCAGAGAAATTAAGGTGCACTAAGGTGCCTTTTCGTTTTAGAAAAACAAACATATATATTCATACTGGCATTCGACACGCTCTGTTATTTTCATGCTTTAGTTGTTGTTCTGTTAACATTTTTTTCCCAGTGTTAACACCATTTGATGAAACTTAAAAAAATTGTCCGGCTCACACTTGTGGTTTGGTTCATTTGATTTGGACACAAAAAGAAAAATCATACATGTAGATATTTATTTAAACTGCCTTTTTTAAACCATATCATACAAAGCAAACAAATAAGAAAATACTTTTATAATATTTATTTAGCAAAACAAAATCTTAAACAACATTCAAAACACTTAATGCAGTTGTTGTGTTTGTATTTATATTATTTGAGACTTAATGAAGAGCTTATAAAATGCGGAGAGTCAAAAGAGCACCAGGAGTTCCTCACTCAAATGAACATTTGCTGCTAGGAAATACATTTCTGAATTTTCAATGTGGAATGTAATGTGCAAAATTATGACCATGAAAGGGAAAAAATAGGTTTTTCTGTAATATATGTCATCTTTTTGGTCTGAGACCTCCTTTTTCCATCTATCTTGGTTTGGTGATCCATATTTTATACTGTTTTAAAAGAAAATGCTAAGTGTTAAAAAACCCTTTAATTAATAAAAATGGTAATTGTAGAACGTGCACAGATAGCTGAACAATCATACTAAAATAAGTCACTATAGTATTCTAGTAAGGGCTGTATAATCACTGTTTTCTCAGGTTGTGTGGGTTTTGAATATGTGAAATTCGTCATGATAGTAAATGTTTGTATAAACCCTTATCAGATGTTTAACTAGTGTTTCTTAACTAGAATCTATTTTGTTTACTGAGCTGTTTGTAATACCCCCCCCCCCCCCCCCCCCGATTTGTACGGTTATATTCAAATGTGGATTTATCTATATTTCTACTGTAGTTTGTTAGTAACACCAATAAAACATTGATTAGTTTTCAAGTTTTTTTTCTTCCATTTAATAGAAAAACCCATCAATTAATTCAACCAACGAACACAATTTTTTAAATAATTTTTCAGATTGTATGACATTAATGAAAACCGAAATCAATATTCCCCTATTAAACGCCATTAAAAAGTCTGTTAAATCAACATGGAATCAATATTATAATCATGACATGACAAAAACAAGTGATTTGTGAGGCAACATCTACAAATGGAGCATTAGGTTTACTTATATTTGTCATTAGTATTCAGGTACAGTTCAGGCCAGGGGTCCTGCTCGGCTTCTTTGATACGGTGGTCTGCATTACTGCCTGTAATTGAGGTGACTCAAAGGTCATGGATTTACTGTTCTGACAATAGTATGTGCCTTCCATCCTCACCGGGACAATGCTGTGCTAGACATGGCTCGCGTGAAGTTAATTTATGATCAGAGAAAAAAAAAATCCATTTGGAGGCCACCAGCGGTGTGAAACGAGAGCACTCGGTGTGTAAACAGCACGTATGATTTGTGAGGCGAGCGTTTGCAGCCAGAGGAAAATGTGACGGGGAAATGCATGTGGGTGACTGTAAGTGGGTGTCATTTCTGCTGGGAAATATGTTCCTGTGGTGGCTGTAAATGACCCCACTGTGACGGAACGTGGTAAATATATTGACGCAGGCCTCATTATATGGGAAATGCAATCAGTGGCTCTCAGTACAAGGCTGTCAATCAGGTTGTGAGTCATTGAAACATCCAGAGCTCAGTTTATACCAAATGATATGCAAAAACTTGATATAAAAATAAATCTGCAGGGCTATAAGTTCAATATATAAATGTGTCGTCAATCATTTATAGACCCATTTCATTTATCTTACGTCCGATGAACATTTTACAATGTGTATTGTATGTAAAATGGATGTTTATCCTTAGTATTTTTGAAAAGTTCAGTGTATAGATGATAAAGTGATCATAATTTACATGATCTAAAAATTAAAAAGCTAAACATGTTATATTCTGCATTCCAGGCCAGTAGTTGGCGCTGACACTTTGTAAAGAAAACTTATGTGGCTGAGCACACATACCTGTTTGGTTCTGTAATCCATGTTGTTTAGCTTGTCAAGTATTCACTCTCTCTCTCTCTCTCTCACACACACACACACACACACACACACACACACACACACACACACACAACACACAACACACACAACACACAACACACACAACACACACAACACACACACACACACACACACACACACACACACACACACTAAACTCATCATACCCAGCAAGCATTTTTTGCTTTTAAAAGAGGTATAAAACACACATAAAGTGTGACGCAGGAAAAGCCATATTGTTATTATATTCATTATCGATGCCTACGTAAGTCTGTTGCTGAATGCTGGTACATTAGTTCTAGTAGTGCTTTCAGAAAATTCCTACACTGTAGAAAATGTGTTGCTTACATTGAAGTTAAACCAATTTTTCTTTACAAGTCATTTTAACTTGCATCAACTAAGCTCAAAATATTAAGTTCAAATTTGTTTAACTTAAAAAAAAACAAGTTTGGAAAAGATTTGGAAAAATGAAGCTTACAGAAGAAACCATCAAAATAATTGTCATCTACACATGTTGAATAAATGTCTAAAAATGCAATCAGTATGCATTCAGTATATTTTTAAAAAAATTAAAAAATCCTGCAGGAGTTGCCCTATGTTGTTGCAAATAATAGTACAACAAACACCAGGGGCCTCATGTACGAAGACTTGCGTGGAAATCTTACTAAAACATTGCGTACGCACAAAGCTGTAAATGTGCGTATGCAGTGTTTCATACATCTGAATTTTTTTCTGCGTACGCACAAAGCTGTAAATGTTTTAGTAAGATTTCCACGCAAGTCTTCGTACATAAAAATTCAGATGTATGAAACACTGCGTACGCCGAATCTCACGCATATTCTTTTGTACATCCGAATGAACGTGAAACTGAGCGCAACATGCGCGAGCACAAAACCCCTCCCTGCCTCCTCCCCCGTATGAATATGCTAATGACTATGCTAATGGCAAAACCCAACGAAAAAGCAATGTCAAAAGCAAGCAAAAAGAGAAACTTTGAACAGAATGTGAATTGTATGTGCTACTTTCGGAGGTAGACCGGAGAAAAGCGGTGTTATTTGCAAGTTTGTTCTCCGGAATTAACAACAAAAGAAAAAAATAGAGTGGGAGAGTTTAGCTGATGCGGTTAACACAGTTGGGTCTGAACATATCGCACTGAGTGCATTAAAAAAAAGAAATAGTGTAAAATATCTGTAAAATGTTGCAGGATTCTTAACAGTCTCAGTGGCGCAGTTCGTAAGACATGTGATCATGAATTGACACGTTCGAGCATGAACTCGGCTCGAATCCAGCGTCTGATGAACTCTTTCTTCTTTTTTTCCCCGCTACATATCAGATTTTGCCAACTATTTATCACGAGAAGGACAAGAAGGAATCATCAATAAGTTTATATCAATAACCATCATATTTTATTTGCACATTTATTGAATGGAAATATTTCTGATTCACGCATGCAAATTCATCTTCAGATAGTGTCTTTATAGCAATGTGCGTGCGGTAGATTGCTCAGATTACATTGGGAAAACAGGCGACTGCTGCAAATTGTGCTTTAATGTTTAGCTGGTCAACTGTATGGTATGGAAACCTTATATACCTGCTAGATGAACCCATCTTATACAGCTGCCATTGCAAGGCTCAGACACTTTGTAGAGAGCAATTTAACACAACTGCCTCTAGGAGTCGCCAATGGAAATAAAACAGACACGCACAAAAAAAGTGCGTACGCCAGCCAGAAAGCTGCCGTGAAGCTGCGCACATTCCCACGTTCAGTTCATTGTTAGTAAATCCAAACGTGAGCGATTCTGAGCGTGAAACCTGGCGTACGCAAAGTTTTTGTGCATACACAGCGTTGATACATGAGGCCCCAGGTTAATTCTGAATCCCTTCACAACTCATGGCTGTGTGCGGAGTCAGGCAAAAGAGTGAATGAAGTGTCAGGAGAACGTGTTGTCCATGCACATAAACAGTGTTTGCTTAGAGGAATAAAAGCTTTAACACATCTTTTAGAATCAAAGTTGTGCATTACAAGAACACAATGACCCACTGAAAATAGTTAAGTGACCCACAAGTTAAGAAACATTAGCTCATCTAAAATAAGGATGATTTCTGTCCGAGTCATGTCGGATATGGACTACAACTCCCATGATTCCACAAACTGCACCTTTGTTTGTGTTCAATAGGCTCCCCCTAGTGGTGACAACTTAATATTTTGTTCTAATAATTCTGACTTCATCTGTATATACTGTTGGGGATGTATTCATCCACTCTGGGGTGATTTTGAGTCTTAACTTGGCCGTAACTTTTTCCCTGTTTCAGCTAGTGGAATAATTTTTGGTGACGCATCTTATTTTGACATTTTGGGTAAATGCTTTAAATAAAAAATAAAAACTCAAAAATAAACTCTGGACACCCCTTTGTTATGTTAGGGATGAATTCATGCACTAAGTTAAACTGCTGTAAAAATGTGAACAAAAAAGGCATTGCTGTGGGCCTCAGGTTTTCAGATTGGAAAAGTGTGTTTGGTGTGATCGGCCCCTCAGTGTGTTTTCTCCTTTGAATAATTTTTTTTAATTTTTTTTTTAGATTTGTTACTCAATATTTACAGACCAAAATATTACTGATTGATTAGGAATGCCTTAAACTGGTGCATTAAAGCAAAAACTGTAGACTATACATGACTTTTTGAATGCATTACTCCCCAAGTTTACCTTGAATGTTCTGCATGCATGATAGGTCAGTAGCTTTTATTCACTTATTTTTCCCCTCTTCCCTAAGCTGATATCATCACTAGAAGAAACATGCACAACTTCCACACAAAAGACATTCTTGTGCATTTTTCATTAAGTGGGTCTATATACAGAGTTATATATACAAGTCAAAGTCATAAGCCCTCCTGTGAATTTTCTCTTTTTTTTATATTTCCCAAATGATGTTTAACAAAGCAAAGAATTGTTCACAGTATTTCCTATAATATTTTTTTTCTTCTGGAGAAAGTCTTATTTGTTTTATTTTGCTATAATAAAAGCAGTTTTAAATCATTTTAAGGTCAATATTTTTTCCCCCCTTAAGCAATATTTTTTAGATAGACTACAGAACATTGTTATACAAAGATTTGCCTAATAACCCTAACTTAACCTAGTAAAGCCTTTAAATGTCACTTTAAGTTGAATAGTGTCTTGAAAAATGTCTAGTGAAATATTATTTACTGTCATCATGGCAAAGATAAAATAAATCAGTTATTAAAAATGAGTTATTAAAACTATTATGAATAGAAATGTGTTGAAAAAAAAACTTAAACTGAAATTGGGGGAAATAATTCAGGAGGGCTAATAATTCTGACTTGAACTGTACAAAGAATCAGAGCATATACTCGCAGGTCAGCCCGTGACAAGCACTGCGCAAATCAAAGTATAAGTTGCTCAGAGGTAAAGAACGTGGGGTTTTAGGAGTCAGCAAATTTATTTGGTTCACTCTGGTCAGCATGTTTCCGGCAGAAAGAGTAATGGCCTTCTGTTACACACTATCTATATACATAGAAAGGTGAACCATCTGAAATTGCACAACCTGATTCAGAGTGGAGTTCATACACTAAATTGAAAGTGTCAGTATTCTGTTGATTCAGCCATGCTTGCTAATGTAGATAGTGTCTTACACTGTCTGTGAAACAATGCTGTAAAGAGCTTTCAGAAAAAAATTGGGTGGTTCTTGGAAATGGCACATCAGACTATGCTTTAATGGCAAGAAATGGCAACAAAGCTGTTTTTTTAGGGTCCATATGGGTGTTGAACCCAGCGGTACACGATCATGGAGTCAGCAAGCAAGAGTTGCTGATCTCAGAAGAGGTTTGTATCCAGACACCATATTTAATTGTTTTCTCAGAGACCAGGTGCAGAAACACA